AAATAACTGGAGGAAGTACCATTATGTTGAACACATTGGCTCCGATCTGAGAGATAGTTAGAGAACCAACCAATGGTGTTGTCTGAGAAACCGATTTCTGAGCTTATGACACAAGATGTTATGATCCACAGTATAAAACGCTTTAGACAGGTCTAAGAAAAGTGCAGCACAGTAATCCTTAGCATCCAGTGCTTCAACAACGTCATTAAGAACCTTTAGTGAAGCAGTCGTTGTGCTGTGTTGTTTCCTGAAACCAGATTGATGGAGAGGTAAGATGTTAAATGAGTCCAGGTAATTTTTGATTTGAGAGTTTATCAGTTTTTCTAGAACCTTGGCTAAAATGCAGAGTTTAGAGATTGGCCTATAGTTGTTCAGTGAGGTGGGGTCTCCTCCCTTCAGCAAAGGAAGAACAAAGGCTGTTTTCCAAGTGTCTGGGATGGAGTTTTGTCTTATGGAGAGATTGAAGATGTGAGTCACAGGGACTGTGATGATATGAGCAGCCAGTCTTAAGAAATAAGGTAGAAGTTCATCTGGACCTGCAGATTTTTTAGGATCAAGATCTATTAACAGTTTATTGACCTCACTGACTGAGAATGGAGAAAAAGAGAAGCTGTGATTAACTGAGGATTGACTTGTAGGAGGGATTTGATTTGTAGAAGTTTGGTTATTAAGTGAAGTGGCTGATTTTCAATTAGTAACTGTATCAAATAAAGAACTAGAAGCAACAAAATGTTTGTTGAGACAGTTCAGGCAGGATCTTGTGCTTATTTGACACAGGAATAGTTAGCGAGAAGTTGTGATGGGAGGTCAGATGATTGGGAGCTGCCTTAAAGAGATTTGATGGTTTTCTAGAATCTATTAGGGTCATTTAGATTTTTGGAGGTCTGAGATAAGAAATAGTTGTATTTAGCTGCTTTGATGGCAGTTGTGCATTTATTCCTCATCTGTCGAAAACTCAACCAATCAGTGTCTGAACCAGATTTTCTCGCTGCGGCCCAAAGATGGTCTCTCCTGTGCAGGAGGTCAGCTAGCTCTGGAGTAAACCAGGGGCTGTCTCGTCCCTTTATTCTGAACTGACGAAAAAGAGCATGTTTGTTCACAAAATAAATGAAACTATTATGAAAATAGTTCCAAGCGGTGTTCATATCGTCAGTTAATAGAATACGATGCCAGTCAAAGTGAGACAGATCCCAGAGGAATGACTGTTCACAAAAACATTTCAGATCCCTTTTTTGAATTAATCTGGGCTTAGAAGGTGGAAGTTTAATATCTCTGAGATCCACTATTTCACAAGGATCTCTCTAAATGTTTGTCAAATACACCTGTACCAGGGAATTTGTGAGACATAATAGTTAGAAACAGGTCTAAGATGGAGGACTTTTCAGGATGGTTTTTGTTAAGTCTAGTGGGAGAGTCGATAAATTGGGTTATATTGAGTGACAGGCAACATTTCTTGAATTTATCACAGAGGGGGGTCGACATCCCAGTCAATGTTGAAATCTCCTGCCAACAAAATCTCTTTGAATTTTAAATTACCAAAGATTTTCATCAGGGAGGACAGAGCCTCAGGTGTTGCTGAAGGTGGACGATAACAACAGACTACAGATAATATCTGGCCTCCATTCAAAGTGATGTTTACAGCTAAGGCATCAAATTGGTTTGGAATTGTTTTACAAGACACATGACTAGCAACCAGAGAATCTCTGATGTAAATAGCGACTACACCCCCCCCCCCCCTTTTTTTTTTACGATCACAGCGGTAGATGTTAAATCCATTGATTGCCAGGTCACTATACAGTACAGATTTGTTGAGCCAGGTTTCAGAGATGAAGATAACATCTGCCCCAGAAGAACTGACCAGAATTTTCAAGGCATCAAGTTTTCTCAGAAGGCTACATGCGTTTACATGCAGAAAATGAAGTCCTGACACATTTTTAAAGTAATTTGGTGTCCTATAAATAATGTGGGGTCCAGGGTTGGGTTGAATCCCTGACAACAGTAACAACATTATTATCAGACATTTTCTTGAGTTTTTCGTGACTGATGTGTAATTACAGGAGTTAACAGTGTGACAATTAGCCCCCATAATTGAACCATGAGAAACATTAATGAAGACGCAATCATTCAGAACCCAAAAACAGGGAAAGTTGCAGTGATGGCAGATCGAGGTGTATTAACAAAATTCAGTAACTCCAGATAGTCTGAGATTTGAAAATAATGACAATAATATGAATGGTGCAGAAAAGTCTCAAACCATAAAATGTCACAAATCAAATGGGCAACAGCTAGAGCAACAGCTTATTCCAAAGTGGAACAAGCCAGTTATGTTGGTGCTAAGATGGTCCCTTTGGCACTCCCCCTCATCCATTGCCGGCCCTCTTCCTTATTGACAGTCATGTCAAACTGGTTGAACATACACAACACAAAACTTTGGGGGAAGAATCTGTTTTGTGTTGTGTTTCCTTGACTGTTGAAGCCTTCGGGATTGAAGGTGAAATGTTTTAGCACAAAAAAAGAAATTGTCCAGATGACCTGACTGAAAAATATTGGATTGTATACCTGGATTATTGAGCGTGGACTTTTTTCTAGAGAGTGATGTTAAAAATGCCAAATCAATGTGTACTTTTAAGAAAACAATCAACGTTTAATTTTTTTTTCAAATATTTGAAGTACTTTAATGTGTATTATATAAATAGTCCTTAAAGAAGGAGTTATTTATTTTGTTTTGTTACTTGAAGATTATTACTGTTTGAATTACAAAGTAATTTTTGGGAAAAAAGGGGCAGATATAATAAGATTTTTTTTTCTTTCTTCTGCTGCCTTTCAATTTTATTTTTGATTGTATTTTTGTATTGTTTATGGAATTGTTTTGTTTTGTCTTAAAAAGAATAAATTTTATATTAAAAAAATAATAATGTAAATTACGAAAAGAAGTTAAACATTCATTTGGTTTCTTTTTGTAACATTTGGTTTCTTTAACTGTAGTATTTATTAAGACTATTGTTCTCCAGGGGCCTTGTGAATTACCATACCATACTGTAACCAGAGTGTTGCCATGGTAACCAACTCCTCTTGTGTCCTGAGGGTATAAAAAATTTATGTCACTCTGGCAGGAAACGACTGATAAGTTTACAGAAAGGATCAGAACATCCTTTGATATATTCCACAGGTGCTGATGTCTGACACAGTTCCGTGGTTCTTTGAATGTAGATCCTGTGAGGAGTCACTTTGTCTGGCTTCTTAGGAAAGAGAGTCGATTAGCAAATAGTGTTTTTTGGGGGTGTTATTTAACATACAGTCATGTCTCTGAGGGCAGGATGGGATGAGTCACTCTGACTCGTCCTGATAATGTAGAACACTACAATTAATACTAAACCAATTATTAGTTATAATACTTTTGAGTCGCTGTCTCTAAGTCTATCCCATCCAAAATGGAAAACAGAAAGACCACTCTCACTAGTTGTTACGATAACACTTTACAATAAGGTACACAAAATTTGATTAACTACTAGAGAACACTTCAGGAATGAATCAGGAACAAATGAGGAGCTAATAGGTAGTTAACCAGTACTTACTGGGGAACACACAGCCCAGCCTTATTAGGGGACTACTGGTTAGTTACCTGTGAAACGAAGAGGAACTAATCAGGAACTAATGAGTAGTTAACATGGAAACCAAAGAAAAACTAATCAGGAGCTAATGACTAGTTAACCAGTACTTACTGGGGAACACACAACCACGCCTTATTAAGGGACTACTTGTTAGTTACCTTGTAAATGAAGAGGAACTAATCTAGAGCTAATGGGTAGTTACCAAGGAAACTTAAGAGGAACAAATCAGGAGCTAATGGGTAATAAAATCAGTAAAACTAACAGTAATCACTAGGAAACATGTTTTTGACAATTATGAGCTGTGATCTCTCTGGTGCAGGGTTTATTCAGACCAGTAGTCCCCTAATAAGGCTGGGCTGTGTGTTCCCCAGTAAATACTGGTTAACTACCCATTAGCTTCTGATTTGTTCTTCTTTGGTTTCCTTAGTAACTACCCATTATTTCTTGATTAGTTCCTCTTCATTTATAAGGCAATTGACCAGTAGTCACCCAATAAGGCTTGGCTGTGTGTTCCGCAGTAAGTACTGCTTAACTACCCATTAGCTCCTGATTCGTTCCTCTTTGGTTTCCTTGGAAACTACCCATTAGTTCTTCATTAGTTCCTCTTCCTTTACAAGGTAACTAACCAGTAGTCCTTTAATGAGGCTTGGCTGTGTTCCCCAGTAAGTACTGATTATCTACTCACTAACTCCTGATTTGTTTCTTAGGTGTTCCCTAGCAGTTAAGCAAATTTTGTGTACCTTATTGTAAAGTGTTACTGTTGTTACATATCGCCCACCAAGCTCCTATGCTCAGGTTCTGTATGAATTTTCAGAATTCTCAGAAGGAAGGAATTCAGTATTTACGGTGATTTATTGATACTTATACTTCTATAAATCATAGATTTATAGTTGTCCCTTTTTTGTGAGGGTGGTGCTTCGTTGTTGTATAATTTATGAATTGTGATTATACATAAATTATCCATTCTATAGTCTAACACTACACTGTCAAAATTAAATCTGAAGATTTAGTGCACACAAATTAAAACAAATGATAAAACAAGAGGTCTGCACTGAAAATGTATCTGTTTTGTGCTTCCACCATGATGAGTTTGTTCAAGGTTGTGCAGCAGAATGTTATATAATAAGAAACAATTTTGTTTGAGTTGTCAATTCAAATGTACTTTGTACATGATTACGCTTAAAAACTATTTTGCTGAGATAAATGTTTTTGCTTGAAAAATATAACAGAAACCCACAGTTGTTGTTTTTTTTTTGGGGGGGGGGAGTCAAAATTGTCATTGTTAGAACAATAATTCAACATTTTCAGATTAAAGATGGTATGACACGTTCTGCAACAAACATTATCAATATCACAAACACCAGGCAAAAAACAAAAATTACAAGACTTTTATTTTGCCTTGACAAACAACTTTTTAAGGTGTTTAAAAATTTCTTTCATTTTTAGTCCATATATTATTGGATTGCAAAGGGGATTGTATGTTATTACTTGCAACATTATTACAAAACGTGCAACCTTGGAAATATCTGATTCCAGTCTAACTATAATTGTGTCAAAAGTAAGTAAACAAGAATAGTTCATTAAAACCAGCAGGTGAGGTAAACAGGTCTGTGCAGCTTTTTTTCTGACTTCTCTGCAGCTTCTATAAGATTTTATAAGAATGACTGTATATGTGAAAAGTACAAAGAACGTAGGAAGAAAACAAATATTTAAAAAATTAACTAAGCCAAATGTTAACAGTGCCCTTGAACTTACACATAAAATATAGTATACTATGTTGTTGCAAAAAATTCCTTTCAAGGTAAAACTGCAGAGTTTCTGATTTGCATTCCCTATGATTGGCACAGCAATATGACAAAAAGGTATGAGCCATGCTAAGACTAGGAAAATGCACACAGTTGTTTTTCTCATAATTGTGTGATATTGCAGAGGTTTACATATAGACACGTATCTGTCAAAGGCCATGGCTGCTAACAATAAGAATTCAGATCCACTCAGAGAGTAAAAAACAAAGATCTGGAATAGACATGCTGGATAAGAGATGGTCTGTTTTTCAGATAAAAAGTCAATCAGTAGTTTTGGATAGACTCCTGTGCTGAAAAGAATAGAGTTAATTAACAAAGCAGCAATGAAAATGTACATGGGTTCATGGAGGTTTTGATGAATCACAATAAGACACACAATGGTAAAATTACTGCAAATTATCAAAATATATACTATGAGCATGATAACAAAATAAAGAAATCTATATTTTTCCAACTCCACATGACCCTCGAAAGTAAAATGTGTTACATTCATTTCATTAATCAAAAAAAATTAAAGCCTTGAATGCAAAAAACAATGTTTTTAAAACAGCACACAATATTAAAACTTCACACAGTTTACAGATAACCACATTAGTTTGCGGTGCGATGTGTTTATCTTGAGAAAACTGTCAGACCAATCATTTGAATTGAATGTAAGCAATCTGTCTTCAATTAAATTTTGAAAAGCTTTCCTTATATAGAAAAATGCTTTTAAAAGCGGTATGCCAATTCAAACATGCACTGAGTTTAGAGATAACCACATTAGTTTGGTGTGTGGTGTGTTCATCTCTAGAAAACTGAATCAATCGAAGTGTTTAAATAGGATTTCTTCATTCTCTATGGCTTTCATTATCTATTCCATGTAGAGCTGTTGGCATGTCAACATTTTCATCCAACCTATAAATAATAAAAACTGATAGACAAAGTTGAAGGATTTCTTTTTTTTCGTCTTTTGGCTGCTCCCTGAGCAAGCACAGTGGCAACAGTGGAAAGAAAAACTCCCTTTTAAAAGGAAGAAACCTCCAGCAGAACCAGCTCAGGACAAGAGACCATTTGCTTTGACCGGCTGGTTGAGAGGACAGGAAGGAGAGAGACGAACACAGAATGGTAGGTCCAGGTATAGGTCCAGGTCCAGGTATAGGTCCAGGTCCAGGTCCAGATATAGGTCCAGGTGTATCTGAAAGACAAAAAAAAAAAAAAACGATGTTAAGGATAGAAAAAATAATTACAAATACAAAACAGGTCGAGTAGAGTAAGTAAAGACAGTAGTAGAGTGAAAATTGTGGTCAGTTTGTCCTCCAGCAGTCTAAGCCTATAGCTGCATGACTAAGGGACAGCTCAGGAAACCCTGTTAGGAAAATATGGAACAATAATATCTGTAATATAAGATGGAGCCAGGTTGTTGAGAGCTTTGTAGGTTAGAAGTAAGATTTTGAATTCTATTCTGGACTTGACAGGGAGCCAATGGAGAGAAGACAAAACTGGAGAAATATGATCTCTCCCAGTAACTCCAGTTAAGACTCTGGCAGCAGCATTTTGGATCAACTGAAGACGTTTTAAAGAAGTATTTGGACACCCAGATAATAAACCATTGCAATAGTCCAGTCTAGACGTGACAAATGCATGGACCAGTTTTTCTGCATCATCTTTAGATCAGATGTTTCTAATGTTAGTGATATTACGCAGGTGGAAGAAGGAGGTTCTAGTAACGTTTTTAATGTGGGGGATAAAAGACATGTCCTGATCAAAAATAACACCAAGATTTTTAACATTAGAGCTGGAGGACAGATTAATGCATCTAAGGAGGGAGAAAGACTGAAACATTCATCCCTAAGGTGCTCAGGTCCAAAAACCAAAACCTCAGTTTTGTCTGTGTTCAACAGGAGAAAATTAAGAGTCATCCAGGTTTTTATGTCTTTAAGACATGCTTGTAGTCTAAGTAGCTGATTGGATTCATTGGGTTTAATGGACAAATATAATTGTGTGTCATCAGCATAACAATGGAAATGTATCCCATGCTGTTTAATAACTTTACCTAATGGAAGCATATATAAAGTAAAGAGTATTGGCCCATGCACTGAGCCCTGAGGAACCCCATGACTAACGTTGGTGTATGAAGAAGATTTATTATTTACATTTACAAACTGGAATCTATCTATTAAAATAATATAATATATTTAAGTAAGTAAAAGTACATTCACTGATAAGAGTTTCCTTTCGTAAAAATATTTAGTGTAAATATCACCCCAAGTTAAAAGTAACAATAAAATTTTACTCTAAGTAAAGTTTTTTAAATTATTTTACCTTTTAACTTATGGAGTGGTTGCCTTTTTAGTTTTGTGCTCAAAGGACAGCAGAATATATTTTATTTAACTCAGGAGCTTAGCTTGTCTAATGTTGTTTTCAGCGCAGAGGTTTACTCGTTTAGAGGGACCAGATAAAGTGCAGCCCATAGACCAGTTATGATGCATCAAACAAATGGAAACAATAAATTCCATGCTCAATAATCCAGGTATACAATCCAACAATTTTCAGTCAGGTCATCTGGGGAGTTTCTTTTTTGTGTGTGCTGAAACGCTTCACTTTCCATCCAGAAGGCTTCATCAGTCAAGGAAACACACAACACAAGACTCCAACATTTTTCAGTCAGGTCATCTGGACAGTTTCTTTTTTTGTTCTGAAACGTTTCGCCTTTGATCCAGAAGGCTTCATCAGTCAAGGAAACACATAACAAAACTGATTCTTCCCCCAACAGCTTACTCCAAAGTGGAACAAACCAGTTTTGCTTGCGATAAGATGGTCTCTTTGGTACGGCCCCTCCTCCATTGCCGGCCCTCTTCCTTGTTGACAGTCTTGTCAAACTGGTTGAAAACAACAAAGTCCATGCTCAATAACCCAGGTATACAGTCCAACATTTTTCAGTCAGGTCATCTGGACAGTTTCTTTATTTTTTTGTGCTGAAAGGTTTCGCCTTTGGTCCGGAAGGCTTCATCAGTCAATAAATACACATTATACTTTTCCATACTCCTTCAGAAAACTAACTTTTAACATTTTCTTGAATATGTACATAGATCTGACAGTCTTAACATCATCCTTCAGACCATTCTACAATCTTATTCCCTGAATTATAGTAGACCGCTCCTTCAAACTGGTATGAAACCAAGGCTTCACAAACATCTCTATCCCCTTAAGATAATAACCACTCTCCCTTTTAACAAAATTTACTTGGATATTTGAAGGTAGTATGTTTTTGTGAGCCTTATACATCCATCCATCCATCATTCCATCCATCCATCCATTTTCTTCCACTTATTCGGGGTTGGGTCGCGGTGGTAGCAGCTTAAGTAGGGAGGCCCAGACTTCCCTCTCCTGAGCCACTAGGGCCAGCTTTTCCGGGGAAATCCCAAGGCGTTTCCAGGCCAGTTGTGAAACATAGTCCCTCCAGTGTGTCCTGGATATCCCTCTGGGTCCACTCTCGGTGGGACATGTCCGGGAACATCTCACCAGGGAGGCGTCCAGGATGCATCCTAACCAGATGCCTGAGCCACCTCAACTGGCTCCTGTCTATTTGGAGAAATAGTGGCTCTACTCTGAGTCCCTCCCGGATGACCGAGCTTCTCACCCTATCTCTAAGGGAGAGCCCAGACACCCTGCGGAGAAAACTCATTTTGGCCGCCTGTATCCGTGATCTCGTTCTTTCGGTCACAACCCAAAGTTCATGACCATAGATGAGGGTAGGAACGTAGATCGACCGGTAAATTGAGAGCTTCGCTTTTTGACTCAGCTCTCTCTTCACCACAACAGACTGGTACAGCGACTGCTTCACTGCATACGCTGCACCTATCCGCCTATCAATCTCATGCTCCATTTTCCCTCATTCGTGAACAAGACCCCGAGATACTTGAACTCCTCCACCTGGGGCAGGACCTTCTCCCCGACCCGGAGAGGGCACTCTACGCTTTTCTGCCTCAAGACCATGGCCTCGGATTTGGAGGAACTGATCTTCATCCCAGCCGCGTCACACTCGGCTGCGAACCGCTCCAGCGAAAGCTGTAAATCACGACTTGATGAAGCCAATAGGACCACATTATCTGCAAAAAACAGATAAGCGATCCTAAGACCGCCAAAATGGATCCCCTCAACACCTTGGTTGCACCTAGAAATTCTGTCCATAAAAGTTATGAACAAAATCGGTGACAAAGGACAACCTTGGCGGAGTCCAACTCTCACTGGGAATGAGCTCAACTTACTGCCAGCAATGCGGACCAGGTTCTGACACCGGTCATACAGGGACCTAACATCCCATATCAAAGGGCCTGGTACCCCATACTCCCGGAGTAGCCCCCACAGGGCTCCCTGAGGGGCGCGGTCGAATGTCTTCTCCAAGTCCACAAAGCACATGTAGACTGGTTGGGCAAACTCCCACGCATCCTCCAGGACCCTGCTGAGGGTGTAGAGCCTCTCCATTTAAACTCCTTCATTTTCCCATCTTTAAACTTCTATCTTGCCAGTAATCATCCGGATATTTTCAGAAATGTCTGTTGCATTTTAGTTGCAAGTGAGAAATCATGGCCGTATGGTTTCTCATTGTAAAGCTCATTAATTAAGCTGTGTTATTGCGTTCAATCAGAATAATCACGTGTACAATGTTTGATGTTAAATTTTGATTCTGTTAATAAATGACCACATTCATTTTGATGGGTCAAAGAAAATTAACGTCTCACGTCACTGATTAAACCATCTCCCACACAGTATCTCTGTCACATATCTGTCAAGTAGCTCGAAAAAGAGAGAATCCGTTTAAATTAAGTATAATATCAGGTACTTGAACTAGTCCAGATATTATAACATGTAGTGGAGCTCCGAAGCTAAATGAAGCTAACCGACCTATTTCACTACATTCTGGAGTAATTAATTAAACTTCATTTTCCCATCTTTAAAACTCTTCTATCTGCCAGTAATTAATCCAGATATTTTCAGAAATGTCTGTTGTAATTAGCTGCAAGTGACATATCATGGCCGTATGATTTCTCATTGTAAAGCTCATTAATTAAGCTGTGTTAATTGTAATCAATCTGTCAATTAATGTAAATGTGTGATGTGTTTTAAATCGTTTTTAATTAAACGGCTCACTGTTGTTGGTGAGTCAGAAATTTAAACACGTTTCCGTCCACATTTAATCATTCAAGGCACGATAGTACTCAGTCCAGAAAAATGAAAGAATCCGTTTAAATTATGGATAATACCAGACAGGTATCACTCATTACAACAGTGTTGCAGTGTTCCACGACCATGACGAAAACCGCACTGCTCCTCCTAAATCCAAAGTTCGACTGTCCGATGGACCCTCCTCTCCAGAACCCAAGAATAGACCTTACCAGGGAGGCTTAAGAGTGTGATTCCCCTGTATTTGGAACACACTCTACGGTCCCCCTTTTTGAATAGGGGGACCACCACCCCAGTCTGCCAATCCAGGGGAACTTCTCCCGATGTCCACTCAATATTGCAGAGTCGTATAAGCCAAAACAACCCCACAACATCTAGAGCCT